CCGGCCGTTGCGGCGGCCGTTGGCGTGGCCGTTGGGGCGCGGTCCGCTCGGGCGCCGGGGCGGGAAGGGGTGTGAGGGTCGCGCTCAGAATAAAAGGAAAAGAGATAGAGAAACGTGAAAGGCAAAGAGAGGGTTAATGGGAATAGAGTTCCCCCTCTGCAGAAACTTGTGTGGACGTGTCTGTGTGTGAGGGTGAGGAAGGAGCAGCATCAGGCTCGGGGATGCTGCGAGGGGGATGTTCAGCGTCACCTCCCTCGGTGCTCCTCTTAGCGGGGCTTTCCTGGAGCCTTCACCGCTTCCAAAGGTGCACGGTTTGTGTGCTCTCGCTCCGTGGGATCGGAGGATGCTGCTACAGTCCGAAAGGGATTTGGAAAGCTCTGAGGTTCAGCTTGTGCCTCCAGTCAATGCAAGTAGCTTCTTCTGCATTTTATATGAAGGCTTAGTGTTCAAAAGTCTTGTGAGGTGTTTCTGTGTTTTAATGTATATCTCAGGTGTTTTGTCCTGTGATGCCTCCCTGTGAAGCCTTCTCGGTTTACCTTCCCTCTCTGTAGTGCTCTCCATCATAAAAAGCTCCAAAGACTTTGGAGATGCCTTCACAATGAGTAATATGCAGTTTTATTAATAGGAAAACTGCGTCACAGGTGTTAAATGTTAATCTAAGTTACAAAGAAAACCTGTGATTACCAGGAACTTGCTTGGTTCCATTTCTCTGAAACATCTCTGCAGTTCAGGCAACCATCGCTCCATCCTGACCTAACACCTGTATTTGAACCATGCCACCAGGTGAAGAGAAAACCCAGTCGTCTCTGCCATGTTCCCAGCCACACGCTGTAGCCCAGGGAGGCAGTGAGCTCTCACACTAATATGTCATGAAATATTAGAAATTACAGAGTAACAAAAGTCAGGAAGATAACTGAGATCTCAAGTAAGTGGAGCAAAGCGTTCCATCTTATGCATTGCCGCTCTTTTTTATTGTTCCACTTATATACCAATACTCAGCTGAAGTGAATTCATGAAAAGAATTCATTCGTGCTGTATGTAGGAAGAGGTTAGAACGGAGAGGAGTTCCTCTTGTTAAATATTTACCTTACCGGTCTTAGGTTAGAGGGCAGATACAGTTTGTGCCCAACTCGAGTTCCCAGAAGGATTTCCGATAGCTCAGCAGTGCCCCAGGAGCTTCAGCATTTGTGTAAATGTGGGTACAGCAGCATCTCCCTCCAATTTTCACAAAGTCCTATAGAAACACATAACACGAATGCTTCTGGAGTTTACCAGTAGTTGTTGTGGTTCAAGAGGGGTTGGAAACCCAGCCACGGGAAACGTGACAGCACCATGTTCTTATTACTAAGCCACTGTACCTCTTAAGTTCAAAGACACTATAAATAAGAGAATCTCTTCTTGTGGGAAAATGGACAGAAGTGTATTAAATTCTTACCAAAGATGAGCTTGCATTTAAGGATTTATATCAGTACGAGTATTCGCATAAACTTTAAGAGCCTGATAGAAGATCACAGGGATTTTACATAGAGCAATAGCTATAGGAGGCACTGTAGGAAGCCAGTTCCAAGTTAAAAGCAGGGTCCAAAAAGTTTGGATTGCTCATTTCTGAGGCCTATACAAAGGCGGATTGTGGCTGTCACTGTACAAAGGTGAAAGAAGAAGCAGAGACTGTTCTTTACTTGTCCTTTAGTATTTCAGATAATGGTGACATGAGAGGAGCAGACCTTTCCATTGCAGGTGCTATCACAAGCACTTAAGGCAAAGAAGAGAACAGCCTAGTTTCTGCTGCTTCTTGATCTCTTTGGTGCACTCTGTTATTTGATGATCTGTCTTTTAATGAAGTCTATGGTCCCCGGCAATCTAGAAGGAACATAATCTAGAAAGTTGTTTAGAGCCCTTCCCAGGGCTGGTAGGTAGAGAGGGCAGGCCCTTCACATCCAGCCCAACCATGTCATGCAATCCGAGGCTTAAATAGTCCTGAGTGCTCATCTACAGCAATGCAGTGCTGAGCACGCACTGTGGAAAGCTGTACGTTTGCTTGGTTAGTGTGTTGGCAAGCAGGATTCTCAATAGTAAACTGTGAACAAATCCCTTGCTGTTGTAGCTTTCTATCATTTACAGGGGATGCTTTTTCTTCCCTGGCTATCATTGGTCCCCACTGGTGTGTTGCAGCAAGGTGCCTCATGCATTACAGAGCCGTCCTTCACCCGGGAGGATCGAGGGAAAGCAGGTAACAAGGTCACCTGCAAACACACACCTGCCTGGCTGAGGAACTGCAGCCAAAGTCAAACAGGACCCCCAGGCCCTGGGACTGAGGTGTGTGGCAGCCAGGCACATACTGCCAGTGGGGGAAGCAGGGGAGGCTGCTCTCTCCAACAGTCCAACAGTTTATTTCTTTCCTTTTTTTTTTTTTTTTTGTTTTGTTTTTGTTCTGCTGCCTTGTTGGCAGGTTTTCTGGAATGTACTTTAAATAACTGAAACTCCAGCTGTTGCAATGAAATTCTTTGAATTATGCGTCCAAAAGAAAGAGAAGAAGGTGGTATCTTGAGTTCAGATCAAATGCTGCAGTGCAGTGAAATAACATAGGTGTATGTAAAGGTAACACTTGCATTTAATACTCCTCTTGTTTTCTGTTCATTTAGCTTTTCTTTGAAGCTGTGTCCAGACAAGATTTAAAACTGCTGTAGCAGCAACTGTTTCCCCTCTATTTCTAGCCTGACTACAGTGAGAGTGAATTTACATATAAAGACTGTGTTTTGTGAGTGTTACAGATCTCTTTAAGGAAGTTTAAAGGAAGTTAACTGTTTTAACATAAATCTCAGAACTCCAAGTTGGGTCTGTCGGAAAAATCTTCCTGACTATAAAGATACTCTGATTTGGTAGCAAGTGCAGTCATTGGTGCGCAGATTACTTTCTCAGGATATTGATATTTGCCATGCTGTTCTCTGTGGTCATTACAAAACCTGGCAGCATTGCCTGTAACTAGCACGGGCTGACGTGGTGTCTACTGCAGCGAACGGCATCAGAATCCAGTGGTGTCCTGGCATGTTGTAGCTCTTTGTGTGAAAGTTGGCCAGATCTTCAGCTCTAACAGAGCTGGAGGAGAACCATATTATAACATGATCTGCAGCCGTAACTAACCAATATGTACACAAGAACTTGGTAAGTCTTTAAGCAACCCTGAAATCTCAAGAGTTAACCCTTAGCCAGGTTGAGAAGTACAATACTGAGTCATATTGTGGGCTTCCCACAAGAGCAGAGTGGGACAGGACCAGATACCAAGGCTGAAATTATTACTCTTGATTCAGAAAACGTAGGAATATTCAGTGAGCATTTTGGATTTGGAAAGACACAACATTATGTGTTTGTATCACATGAGAATGGTGAAGTCGTTTCCAATCCATTAGTAACTAAGGAAGATGTTAAAACAAATTTTATGAGAGATAAACATCTTATAATCAGGAGGATTGCAAGGCTTGCGCCCGTAAGAGTGAAATAGCACGAATGTGATTCCTTTGTTAAAACTGGGCAAGTGTGATTTCCCTCATTTAGACTGCCTAGTCTGACATCGTTCACAAGGAAAATTACGGTAGTCATGTGGGATTCCATTAGTACTTAAATGGTGAGAGTAAACTTGAGGCCAAACAGTATGGAGTATACACACAACAAATTCATCAAATCTTTTTTTTTTTTTCCTCTTTTGCTATGTTAGGAAGATCATTGCCAGCAGGTCGAGGGAGGGGATCCTTCCTCTTCACTCAGCTCTGGTGAGGCCACATGTGAAGTGCTGCATCCTGTGCTGGGCTCCCCAGCACAAGAGGGATGTGGAGCTACTGGAGCAAGGCCAGTAAGGAGCTACTGAGAAGTTTAGGGGACTCGAGCATTTCTTGTATGAGCTGAGAGTTATTTAACGAAGTTGTCACTTTTTTCTAGTGAGATTCTACAAAGATCTGTGCCTGACACTGTTTAACCCTCCTGTCCATTATGTAATTCTAAGAAGACTCTGTACCCAGTGACTGAAGTAGGATGTGAGTGGGAGAGTAAAAAATTCCCTTAGTAGCTGATTGCAACACTTCAGCACTAATCATAGTGGACTGTCAAATGCAGTTGCTTGAAGATAAAAATACTGTCTGTTGGGCAAGCCAAGATATCATATTAAAAGCCAAAGAACTTTTCTGAAAAGAATTCATCATTATTATACAGAACAGTACAAAGTGCTTTAGATAATATCAAAGAGAGATTATCAGGGTATCTCCAGAACGTGGCTTTAATTGTGGACTGAAAATAGGGTGGTAACTTGTACAAGTGAAGATACAATGGGCTGCTTTAGTTGCTCTTGGAGAGAATGCTCCACATTATCCATTGCATTTTCTGTGCACCTTTACCAGAAGTCTCTAATTCAGCACGTATTATAATGGCATGAAAACAGTGAAATGAGCCTTACAAAATTATACAATCAAAATTATAAATGAGTAGCAGATGCAGTATTGTTTTCTTCATATCAGTCTATGTGCATATAATGCTGTTGCTCAGTGGTTTAGGAGAACTGAAGTAAACTTATGCCTCTATTAAGCATCTTCATTAATTTGCTGCAGAGAGCCTGCAGCAATAGACATAGGTAATTTGACCAAAGTAGCACTGTGTTTACCTTGCTTGAGCAGAGTGGGTGGACCAGGTGATCTTCAGAGGTCCCTTTCAACCTCAACCATCTGCGATTCTGTTATTAAAATTAAAAAAGTCATTTCTTTAAAGAGATTTTTTTTATCATTTTGTAACAACAAAATGTAGCCCCTCTTTTGGCAAAAGCTGGGTTTCAGAATCTCAGTCAGCAACCACATGCAGCGCCCAGGACGTGAGCTGACCCCGTCTCTCGCACATGCTGTGTTTCAGGGCCAGTTCTGTGATTACTGCGATGCTGCCGATCCCAGCAAAGCTCACCCGGTGACCAACGTGATTGATGGAACCGAGCGCTGGTGGCAGAGTCCTCCTCTGTCTGTGGGCTTGGAGTACAATGAAGTCAACGTCACCTTAGATCTGGGACAGGTGAGTGCATGAGCTGCCCTTAAACGTTTAATCATTTTAACTGTTTGAATCAGTTTTCCAACTGCATGAGGAATGTTTGAACTGATGATTTTACCTTCCAATGCCATGCTCTTATTTATTTGTTTTTTTTATTTAATGTGGCTTGTGTTCTGCTTTTACTGATGTAATTGGATAAAGTGATTAGCTTCCTCAGGGATTTTGATGCTGTGGTTTCCTGCCACAGGGATCATCCTGGTTCGGTCACTGTGTGCCTGCTCGGCACAGGTGATTTAATTCCTTAACCTGACATTACAGAGGAGATTGGCCTGTTGAAACTGAGGCTCTACCTATCATTTCATATTCTCCTCTTCCCTGGGTGCACAGAGATTTTATGCTCTTATACCATGCACATATTTTTAGACTAATGTTGGGAGTCTGCTTCTGCCTCAGGGATCATTCTGGTTTCTGTGTTATACAGCAAGATCTTTGAGATAAGACAGTTTCTTTAAACATAAAAATATTGACAGAATAGCCTGAAAGGATGGAAAAAAAAAAAAAAAAAAAAAAAAAAAAAAAAAAAAAAAAAAAAAAAAAAAAAAAAAAAAAAAAAAAAAAAAAAAAAAAAAAAAAAACCCAAACTACTGTAATTTGAATTGGTAATATGAGTAATAACATGGACACCCAGATTTCTCCTGCAGGCCATAGGCTAAGAGCAAAGTCTCTGTATCAGTGAATGTAGCTTTTAAGTCGTAAGGCTAGATTCTCAGCTGCCATGGTTGGGCACTGGTCCAGTGAAACTTGTTATGCCATGCAACTTCACAGCAGCTGGAAATACATGGCTATAAATATATACTGGGCTGCAATATACATATGTTTTTTGGACAATAGAAACAGTTTACTAATACTGATTATATAGCACAAGTTTATTTTTTTAACGTAAGCTTTCAAGTTAATTGATAGCATGGGGAGAAATAGTTATGGAAAAAATATTCTTGTGCGACTTGGCTGCCACTTTCTTGGGGATCTGGGTACAAATTGTTTTTTTCCCTGGATACTGTGGTTAATTCTTCTTTTATGAGAGTCTCCTGCTCCTGTCCCTCACATGTCTGGTATAGCTCACATTTAGAGCGTATCTTGGTTCGCATTTGAAGCATTTCTTCATTCTCTAGTGTTTTTGAAGCCTTCCAGTGTACCAGCAGTGCGGAAATGCAAAACAATTTAATACTGAGATGGAGAATTTCAGTAGTTAAACTAATACGATTTTTTTTATGTATATATCAATTAACTGAATGACTGACATGTCAGTTGGCTTGGTTGTTTTTGTGGACTATTTCATGAAAGAAAGGAGAGCTCTGTGTGTGTGCTGATTGATCTTTGGGCCACAACATCCACCTTAGCTTAGCATACAGTGATCAGTTCTGTCTCTGAGTACTGCTCTTTCTGGTGCGATGTGCAGGTGACGGGTCTGCATCCCCTGATGCTTTGTCCTCCTCTGTTCAGTCAGTTAAATCTCAGCTTCAGGATCTCTTTGAACTTGAGATTTACCATTTTGCCCTGTATTCTCACAACTCAAATTCATATTGTTGTGTAGAGTGTTCTAATGAAGTCTGTATTCACAATGCTAATTAATAAAGAAGGAAAGTAAATACTATGACAGAGTAAGCATTAAGAGCCCAATTCACCCCACCTTATTTCAGGAATCTAAAAATTAAGAGCTTAGTCTAAGTCTGTCATACAGATTATCTCAGTAGTTAGCAAAGAGAGATGGGTCTTTTCAGAGTCCAATTCACTCAACTTAGTTGACGTGAAATTAAAGTTTTGGTTTCTAGGGCAAAATAAACATATTTAAAATTAACCATATGCCACAATGCCTTGCTAATCCACAGATAGTAATATTGAAAAGATGAGCAAGACATAGTTTTATTCTCTAAATAGTTGTTCTGTTCTTTATTTTAACACATAACAGCTTTCTCTGCAAGCAAAATATGCAGCTTACTGGCAAAGAATAAAGTGCATTTGCATGCAGAGAAACAATGGCTTAACTTGGTCATCAAATATTCACAATTGGAGGAAGCTAAGCTTAATGCAGTGTCAAAATCTTTTCATATGCTGCATTCCTGCCATTATATCTTTAAGGCTAAGAGTGGAGTCCCAGTGGAGCCTTTTGTCAGTGTTCACAAGACAGCATTTAATTAAATAGTTGCAGAGTGATGAAGGTTTGAGAGCTGATTAAAGTGGAGCTAAAGCAGAACACCCACCCACATTTGATACTGGTTCACAAGGGCTAGGAATGGTTTTGAAAGACAAAATCCCTCCGGGATCTTACATCTTTCTGCTAGAAAAAGGCTCATTTTGTTGTACTTTGTAACACGAGAAAAAGCAAAAACTTTAAAGCAAAAGCCCTCCTGTGCTTCCCTTTCTGACCTATTGTACTTTGATTACATTTTCTAATCAATCACAGCCCTTCTGAATAATAATTAAAATGTTGATCCTTCAGGCAATTTCCTCATCCTTAGAGCATACGTGTTTATACTGTGGCTATTCCTGACTTGTTGAAAATATTTGGATCAAGTAAGTTTCAATGAGTGCTTTAATTTGTTCAGATTTCCCCAACATGTTCTTCAACGTATTTTATACTTATGCATGCAGAATGCCTGCTTGAAGTTCATTGACCTTCACATGACACTCCGGATTGCCCAGTTTTGGCTGATGTGCCCTCATTTTTGGCTTTCTTAATGTTCAGCAGCTATTATGTCAATATTCCCCCCAGGTATTTTTTTGAACTCTGTGTTCAGAAGCACTGAGAAGATGAAGGCTTAGGATAGCATGAGAATGAGTGAAAAGTAAATGCTTTTCCATTCTCAGACTTGCCCTTTCTCTGGTCAATACCACTGATCAGCAGAAAACTGAGGAACAGTTGTGAAATCTTTCCAGATAGTTGTTACCAAATGCTCATGGTATATTTATTGTGCTTTTTAATTTTTTTTAATATGCTGTAGAATCTGAATGTTCTGTGAGTATAAATGCATGCGTTTTTAAAGAGACAGGTAAACATTTTTATTCTTATTTTATCAAAAGCTGATGTAAAAAAAGAATGATTTTTCCAAGGTCAATAATTCTGATCTGCGGTGCAGTTGTATGCAGGAAATCTCCGCAATTAAGATAACCTTTGCTTTTAACTGTGATCTTGGTGTTTTACAGCCAAATAGCTAAATTAACTGTTATTTGGGGATTACAGCACTGTATGTGCTCATACACACGCACACGGTGGGAAGGAAGGAAGGAAGGAAGCTCAACCATGAGCTTAAGATCAGTGGTATGGACTGGGGACACCTGAAGTTTAATTAAATTAAAATGCTGGTTAAAAAAATTATAAATTAAAATTAAAAAGTTATAAATTAAAATTAAATGCTGGTTAAAGCGTGTAACCTCTGCAAAAGGCCTTCATACTTTGACAGATCTTACAAGCTCCTTTTCTATTGGGTATTCATTATGCATTTAATTTTTATATTTGATAACAATCCTTCAGGTGCATAACTCAACACCGAATATTTGCTGAGAATATTAATTGGGTATTGCTAACTGCAGTTATTTAAAAACAATTGTTCTTCATCTAACATAATTTGCTAAAATGGGTATGGAGTTGCAATTAATTTAACTATCATTGTCTGAAATAGAAAGCGTCCTATAGGCTTGTTCTCGCAGGAAACTGCCAAGTGGCAGGTGATTTATCACAGTAAATGGCACGGAGCTGGCCTCCCAAAATAGCCACTTCATTCGTTGTGCTTGACTATTGTAGATTTTATATTGCAGCTGTCTCAAAGTAGATCCAGGTCCAGGGTGGAATTGCAGGAGCTCTGTAATGATGCCCCAAAGTTCTACAAATCAGCCCAGAGAAACCACTAAATAAATCTTCTGCAGCCTTACAGAATTGCCCCTACATTGGGACAGTCTTTCCTTGGAGCCTTTACAGAACTGGGACCCCAGTAGTACTGACTCTGGTGCTGGGCTTCACTTTAGGAAGAAAAAGGGGCTTTTAAAGCTGGGCAAAGCTGCATTGCATTAGGAATGACCAAAAATTGGGATACTACCATCATAGATAATTTTGTATTACTTAATGTCAGAAAAATGCCCTCCGTTTTCTAGAGGAGGCCAATTTGGGATCAGGCTACAAAGCCCAGTGCTTTGAAGTTATTTGCTTTTGGCTCATATCACAGTAAGATGAACCCACTTCTTGCAAACCCTAGATTAAGTGCTTCAGCTGGTTCAGTAGCTGTCTGATGAATGTTTCTGCAAGTTCCACCATGTACTGAACAATTAATCTATTTCTCAGTCACATGGCGGCAGCAGCACAGTGGGAGCCATGTACTGTAAGCTTTTTTCCTCATAGATTTTTCTTTAATATGTACTGAATAGGTTGTATTTTCTTGAAGCTTTAGTTAAATGATATTTTAAGTGGCTCTGTATTTTTATTTTGTTTTCCTTAAAACAAAATTGGTTTGGAATCATGCCAGGGATGAGCTGGGCCTATGGGCAGTGGCAGAGGGTGGGTTGAGGCCCCAGGTGAGGCTGGTCTGGGCCTTTAGAGTCTTCTAGTGCACTCAGGGCTCTGACACAGTCCTATATAATACATTCATTCCATGGTCTGTTGTAACTTTCAACTTAATATATAGTGAAAGCAGGGCTGTTCCTGAAACGATTCAACTGTGCACACATCCCTTTCAGCACTGATAGTACTGCTGTGTTCTTCTTGCTTTGGACTGTAGCCTTCACGAAGGGATGCTTATTTCCTGCACACCTGAGGCCTGAATCCTACAAGTCCTTTCCCATAGGAGTAACTTCAGTGTTCCCTGAAGAAAGAAGCCATTTGTAAGAAGTAGTTATGATCCTAGAGCTGATCTTTGACCAGTTCCCAGTGGAAATGTGACTATATGAGAAATGTTGGTTGTTGCACTTGCCTTCAGCCTTGGCAAAAAGACTCAGCCTGGTTGAACGTGGACAGCGCACCACCTACTAACCAC